CTCGAGTAGACAAATCTTTCTAACGTCTCTTTTTAGGAGACCGCCCGCCGTTCTAATATATACCGTATTAACGAGATCGTCGAGACTCTTTGCACATGCCTATCACTCCTAGAGGTCAGTTCTTACTAGGTGCGCGTTTATTAGAAACTAAAACACCACCTGATTTCACATCTGCGGATTCTCTTAGCCATTTTGTTCTTTTCTTAAGACCTGAGAGTTATTCTGTTACCAGTCGTCTCCAGAACACGCCAGCGAGGTAGTGTACTTGTTTCCATCCAACATGGTACCGTGCCACCAATTTGTCACAACAAGGCAGCATAGGCCACTTCCTCACCAACAATAAGCTGTTCGGGGTAAGCGGTTCCAAGTCGTTGTTGTCTGATGTTAGCGGGACAAGAGGTTTATCATTTAATATACGTTCGGTCTGCACGAAGAGGGAACCGAGCTGCTCGTCAGTTAGAGACCACTGCTTACAGAGAGCAAGAAGAATCCCTCTTAAAGACCTTATCATGCGTTCCCAGATGCCTCTCTGGTGTCTGGCAGCAGGCCGGTTAAAATACCATTGTATTCCTAGATTAAGCGGATGGTCCGATACTCTCTTCTGGTCTTAATTGTGTAAGTGCTTACGGAGTTCCAATACTGCTCCAAGAAAATTGGTTCCGTTGTCATTGTAGAGGTAAATGGGACGTCCACGTCTACGCACGAATCTCATTAGGCACGGAATGAAAAAATTCGTCGTCAGCCTGGCGGCTTTCTTAGGATTCACGGCTTTCGTTTGTAAACAGCCAAACATACAGCCATAACGTTTCTCAGAAGGCCATCCGCGTTTGACCATCAACGGATCAAAGTAATCCACCCCAACGGACTTAAAAGGATAACAACCGAATTTTGTTCCATTTAAGGAAAGCGGGGACATCATCTGTCGGTGAAGTTGTCGAAAGTTACGTCTACAAAGAAGACATCTATCAATGACATGCTTGAAAGACGTGGTTCCCTTTAGAATCAAAAATTTTTGACGGATTGCACCTAGAACTTGGGCTGTCCCACAATGGCCTTCCATGTCATGAAAATAGTGAATAATTTATTCCGTCACAGGATTATTTTGTGGAAGGATTGGCAAGTGCTTCAACGATTCACAAAAATTCGAGTAGTTCAGACGACCACCAACACACATTACTCCTTCAATCAAAATCGGACATAACCTGCCCCGGCACATTTTTCTCACGGACATTCTTTTCAGGTAATCTGCTGGTATAGACTGCAGAATATTATATTCTTCTGAAAAGTGCTTTCTTTGTGTAAGCTTTATCAAGCTGATTCTAGCTTGCCGCAATTCAGATATTCGGATAGAATCCAGCATCAACGTCTCCTGAGGTGTCTTGCCAATAGTGAATATGATATACTTCTTGAAACCCTGGGGCCAGACAACAGTCTTTTGTAGCCTTCCCCAACTTGAAAAACGCACAAGTAGTTTGTCTGAACCACGACACAGAATTAATTGTCAGTCAGTCAGTGTACTTGAGGGAAAAGGGCTTACGCCTTTGAACTGCCTATTTGTACATTTAAAAAATTGAGAAAATTAGCAAAAGTATGAAGAAGTTACAACATTAAGTAAATGCGGACATTGATTCATATAGGTCACTGGATTTATGATTACAAAGTCACATAGTCCGTTTGATGCCGCCGCATATGTCATTGTTTCTTACTCCTTGCCTTTTCAAAAAAGACCAGCACAGGTCGGACTTACCTGAACTACGATTGCGTGGATAACGGCTTAATAAATAACTATATTAGATCATTGGATTGGTGTGGCTTTCTTTTCTATAACGATGCAATCCTTCTTCGTGACGCAATGTCCAATGTTTCCGAATACAACTTGGAATTTGTGCCTCATAGATATCTCAAGTCAAATTCTTCAGATACCCTTGTTCCTTATTTTCTTCCCAACAGACAAAAATGTTGAGAGGGCAGCTGTGTGACCTATCCACTAGTTCTTTATCCGTCCATCTTAGAATCTTAGAAGTTTTCGAAATGGCCTCAAAGATGCGTCAAAGGCAAAGAGAACCACTTGCTCTCGGTAAACTGAACCCTTGCAAATCCGTCGCTTACATCTTAAGTCATCGGTTCTCCTCTAAGAGTGGTCACGAAATTTCACCCCTGCTAAACGATAACGAAATCTTTCTCATCGATGACACTGACAAGGCGGATTTGTTTAGTGCTTTCTTTAAAAAACGCCATGCAACTGAGTCCGAACAAGTCCCTGATTTTTATTCACTTTCAGATAGGACACTGAGTACAATTGGTGTCTCCTCAGATGTCATTAAGAAACATAAAGTCGTTTGAATAACCCACATTCTGCAGGAGCGAACGGGATTACAAATTCGATCATTAAATAGGCATCCGACCTTCCATAATGCTTATTTATTTATCCTCGGTTTATATTTCGAAGGGATTCTTTCCTGAAAAATGAAAGACGTCAATTATCAATCCCGCCTTCAAGTCTGGGCCTCATTCCGATGTTAATGACTATCGGGACGTGCACAAAACACTATCTCGGGCAAAACCTCTTGAAAGTATAATCTCCAATGAAATTCTTGAGTTCTTTCTAGTTAATCAGCTTCTGAGCTCCAATCAGCATGGAGTTTTACCAGAAAGACTCTGCAAAACTTGCAACTTGAACAGCAGTCAGTGGTTGTTATCTACTTTGAGCTTAGCTAAGCCTTCGATAAGGTGCCGCATAAATGACTTTCGGTAAAATTGGAGACTCTCGGCGTCCGGTCGTCCCTACACGACTTCGTCGGATTCTACCTATCCAACCGCTTTCATAAAGTCATGATTGGTAACAGTTACTCAGCATCTCACTGGATCACGAGTGGCGTACTTCAAAGCACGGTTCTGGGTCCGCTACGCTCCCTTCTTTACATCAGTGGTATTTCGACTGAACTAGTAAATTCGCAAACTTTCATTTGTGTCGATGATCTCAAGTGTGTTCATTCATATTCTAAGGACATCGCAAATGTTTGAGCTGCAAAAATTAGTGCTGATTTACTACGCTTAAGCAGATGAAGTTCAACATGGCAGATGGAGTTTTCATCGCCAAGCCTCCTGACCCCATAAGTTTTCAGAATAACCGATTCCCAGAATGTTTCATTACAATGGACTTAAATTTAAACTATACGAACAAGCTTGCTTTATCACCTCACGCAAATAGAATCTCTGCCAAAGCTGCACAGATATGTGCGCTCATGCCACATAATTTTCTCCTTCGGAAATGAAGCTAAGACTTTATCAGATGTTTGTTCTTCTTGTCCTCGAGTACTTCTCTACTTTCATTGGTTAAATGGAGGTCTGTGACCGTAATAAAATCGAAAATGTTCAGAGGGTTTTCATTCGGAAACTGTCCTCTCAAGCTGCACCCACTATTTCTTATATCCATAGATGTCAGCTGGTGAACATGAAGTTTTTGTGGGTTTGAAGACTCGATGCTGATCTTTGTTTCCTTTTCGCATTAGATCTAGCTTCAGTCTTCCGCTCATTTACATTCTTACTCCGAGAGATCAGCCTTATGCCATTCGCAACTCCTCTGTGGCGATTCCGCCGCCTCTTTGCACTGCACCTAAGCGCTCCCTCTTTTTTGCTTCCAAATATGCCTTCCTTTGGAATAACTTTCTGCTAGAAATTAGGTGATCGCGTAAGTTATCGGTATTTAAATCGAAATTGCGTAAGCACCCTACACCGGAAAGTATTAAATCACTGTTGGTCGTTTCATTCCCGAACACTCAGCTTCTTTACTTTTAGAAGGGACCTCCTGGGATTTTGCGGAAGATTTAATGGTAGACCAAGCGGAAACCCTCACTTATATCCTTACAGCCTCCTCTTTTAATTTGTTACTAAATCCACTGCTACCGCTTCTCCCCATATCGACGATTATTACGGTTCTTGAGGTCACCTACTTATCTCGATCTCGAGCACTACGTCGACGCTCACGGCGGAACCCTCTGTATTCGCCGTCTACTAGAAGTTTGGTCGTACCTCCCCCAGTCCTCGGCTGGACTCGAAGCGGATTGCGACTGATCATGTCTGGGTTCCTCTCGTCTGGCCACTTTGACGCGAATAGTCTCATCCGGCGTAGCAGTCCTGCCCTGACGATGGCCGATTATAATCAGGCTGACAGTTATTTCTGCCCTGACGATGTCCGATTATAATCCGTCATACACCGCTACATGCAGACCAGATCTGCCCGCTTTTTTGTCTTATCATGAGCGACAGTTTTTTTCTCCAGTAAAGCTAATCCAATCATTTTTTCAATTCTTGAGTGCAGTTTTTTCACTGTTCGCTCATCCTTTTTCTTAACAGACTACTAATTCAAACACTATGAATTGCATTTTGTACAGATTCTTCTTACCTCGTCTAAAATTTAAATGAACATTTATTTTTAATTGCTTTGATTGAACTCCGAATGGGCTTTAATGAAAATTATTTATTAATCATCATTGTATATTTGTAAGTGTTTGGTTTTCTTATTCAAATACCACATACGACAGTCATATCGTCAGCAGTTTGCTTCGACTGACATACTGTACCGTTATTACTTATGTCTCGCCAAATACTCGCGGCTGGCAGGTGGAACTGCAGTCGCGTGATGAGGCAATTCGCCACGATGACTTCTGACTTTGGATCGCAAGACTGACTTAGTGATGATTTCGCAATCTCCGTACATTCGGTAGTCACAGGCAGCTCATCATATGAACAAAAGTGCTCCACTGTTTGAGAGAGTACGCGGGAAGGGGAGTTCTAAGGCCGACAGACAGGCAGGGAAACGTGCTGAATATTTCGTGAGCGACGTGAGTTGCGGCATCGATGTGAAGCTTACTGAAAACAAGTTCTCCGCCTTAGATAGAGAATTTACGGCAGAACTTTTTTCTCCTAAATAGTCTGAGGCGCTTCTTTGGAGTATACGTCCTTCGTTAAAGGGAATAAGAGATGACGAGCCTTCTCTTATGGGGGAATGCAAAGTGCATCTAAGTGTTTCTTTTCTTCCTTTGCTTCTTCTTCTTCTTCTTCTTCTTCTTCTTCTTCTTCTTCTTCTTCTTCTTCTTCTTCTTATTCTTCTTCTTCTTCTTCTTTCCTCGCTCACCACCACCACCACCACCTTCTTATTCTTCTTCTTGATCTTCTTCTTCTTCTTCCTCTTCTTCTTCTTCTTCTTCAAATGACGGATAGACAAAGCGTGGGTTGAACTCTACAGAAGGTCATAGATCTGAACTCCGTGATCGATTATTTTCTTCCTTAAGTTCACAGGCAGTGGGGTGGAGTACAGAAGGCTCAGCTTCCTCGTTTTCTGAGATGCAGTAGTATGGCTTATAAGGTCAAATGCAAGTGATCCGTGAAAAAGGAAGTCTTCCCGGTGAGGTGGTCTATTAGCTGGGAACGGTGAAACGTTTTTGTTGCACTTGAGTATCAGAGTGTATGTAATGTTTTGGTGGAATTAAATGATGGATAAGTTGTTCGGAGGGAGGCTGACGAGCTAGTTCACGATGTCTCCGTCACATAATTCTGGTTCTCGACGAAAACCCGGATTGAGTACAAGGAATCAGGATGCCTGCGCGTTAAAGACAAGGTGGCACAAGTCAGGTAAATGTGTATAGCAAACGTGATCCGCTGGTATGAAAGTGTGGGCAAGCAGCTGACCTAAATTTCATTGCGAAATGAAGAGATTTAGCAGCAGTTGAGATTCTCCGCCGACAGATCGTAGACGCGAGTCAAGGAATATAGTCTTAATATAGGCCCTTATGAGGCATCCATTCGTATTTGCAACTCCAGTAATTAATCTTCACAAATGTTTTTATTGATGATCCTCAAGTCAAGAAAAACAAATTCATTTTATTACGTGGCTAACTAGACCATAGCCACACTGCTTCTCAGTAATCATTCAGCAGTTAGCAGAGTTCAAAGAACTAAGTACGTCTAAAAATATGACCTTTCCGTCCCCAGACAAACTATTCAACATTTCTCCCGTGGCAGAAACTTTCCTGAAATCTGATCATTATTTAAGGATATCATCATGATAATATTTTTATTCCAGACCCGTGAGGGTCCGATCATAACGAGTAGGAGTAAATTTTTACATGAATTTTAGAACAGATAGACAGGATGAATGCAATACTTAATTAGTAGTTATTGAAGAAATAGTCTGTTACGAAGAAGCATGAGCAAGCAGAGAAAAAACTCCTGACCTATAAAAAAATGATTATAACTGGATTAACATAATAGGAGAAAAAACTGTCGTTCATGAATATATAAAAAGGAGGCAGGACCGGCCTTCATGTGGCAGTGTATAACAAATTTCATGAAGAGGTAAGTATTCGGGTCAGACAGGCAGAATTCATAGGCCAGATGAGGCCATTTACGTCAAAGTTGCGGAACGAGAGGAACCCAGACGCACTCGCTCACAGTCCGCCGAGAGTCGAGCCAAGGAGGGGCAAGGGAGATAGGACCAAACTAATAGTAGATGGCGAATACAGAGGGTTCCGCCATGGGCGTTGACAGAGCGCTGGAGTCGAAAAGAGAAGATGACCTCA